GCAAGTTCTGGTGTGAAGTTGCTAAATATCCGTCTACTCCTTCGGGAACCTTACCCACAAAGGGTCTCACTTTTTGATATTTATATTTCTTATAACTTGCTAACCAACAAAGTTGGTGATTTTTATGGAACTTGGTTTATGTATATGTTTTTCTCAATCAGGGATCTGATGTGAATGAGGAATTTATTGGCTCACTTCTTCTCGTACCTCCCACACAGAAGGTTAACATTATAATTAACAATTATTCCCCAAAAAATTGAATTTTCGAATTTTGCAGAACCCAATAATTTTATCAGTATTGGATTAAGTGGAATACTCTGGTACCTCAAGTATATTTCAACATTTTCCAAAAATTATTACATGGCTTATACAAATCGGACACGTTATAATATTATATCAGAGATAGTTCAAATGAGCAGTGGATAATATAGGATCACCATTTTGAATAATCATAATGTAAGTCGGCACATAAATTAAGAAACTGACGTAGGCTAAGTTAAAAACAGCTGTCCGCAAAACCTAGCGATACTTTTTAAATTGTTTTATTAATGTCTCGTTGAATCAATGCACAAAATTTGTTCTCCAATAAAATTTAAAATGCCCTTTCTTCCATCTGCCGTCGCCGTTAAATTTCTCCATAGTCTCTTCCAAATAATTCCCCATATTATTTATTAAGTTCCCCCCACACGGCTTTGTGTAAGCCGTTTAAAAATTTAAAATTCTCCAAACCCAATAGATTTATTTTCAATCCGACTACACGAAACCGCATCCAAGAGAGTCTATTAAGTTTCTCGGTCTGTGTCTGATCTATCCGCTTGCTTAAAGCAAAGTTACAATCGGAAGGCTTCACATTTGTAAAACAAAGCCCAACGATGACATGGCCATAAGAGACATGTCTGCTGTTACGCCGGATTACACAATGCAACGCGTGGAGACATGAGCACACACACATGCATACATATAGATATGTGTGTGAGTGAGTGTGCGGATGTGTCTTTATGTCATTGCGAAAGTGCAAGTATGACTGAGTGAGTGTCGTTTTTCGTGTTGTTGGGTGTTACCGCTGGCTACTATAGTTAACGGGCTGCTGTTGTTGCTGCCTCTACTGCTATTGTTGTTGTTGTTGTTGTTATTGTAATCGTTCATCGTATATGGTTATCCTTTAATTTCTCACTGGGGATTTGTAACTGGTCACTTGGACGAATGTCACAATGTTACAATCGCAGAGTAGTAAACTTTATCTCAAGCGTACAACACACATGTCTAGATAGATGAATGTACACATACACACACAGACATTCGTCTATCTAGACATGTGTGTTTGTCTGTCGGTGTGTGAGTGTGATTGGGCGTAAAGATGTTTTACTGAGTACAGTGTCATTGTTTACGATTGTACTAGCGGTTGTAAGTGTGTCTGCTCTGAGACACAGACACAATATCTATCTGATTGTTTTGTGCCCTAATATTGAGGGATTGGCCAATGAGTCATTTGGGTCACCATCACACACACACATACAATGTCACCTCATATATGTATGTGTATATTCATGGGTATTTGTTATAGCCACGGTCATGGTTCAACTCATCTACAAATCGTCTATAAATACTAATCAGATAATTTAGTGATTTGTTTGACTCCTAAGTAGTTTCGTAGTTCGTGGTAGTAGTAGTACGAAGTTGTGGTGCTAAGTTGACCATTCAATTGTAGCAAATTAAATTATGGCTTAACGAGCAAAACAAGTTTGGTAACAACAACAACAGGGATATAAATTTGCAATAGAAAACAGAGCAAAGACAAATAATAGATATTTAACAAATTTGCTTTTTGTAATGAATTTTGTTGGTTTATGATGAACGTAATGTACGAGGTGTGTCCTTCTATTTTACGCAGTCCACCAAAAGTTAAAGGATAAATTGATTTTGTCGATATATTTGTAATATCTTGAAATCTTCGGTAGAGGGCACATAAGTTGTTAATAAAGTTCCTATGTTATAATGGCTTGAAAAAAACATATATTTTTTAATCCACGTTTGAAAAGCTTCAAGAGCTTGATTTTTTTAAATTCAAGTTTTGAAAGCTTGAAAAAAAGCTAAAAAAAAGTCTCCGTTTGAATGGCTATAAGGCCTTGATTTTTTAATCCACATTTGTAAGATTTTAATATCTCAGAAAAAAAATTCTCTAAAAAACCGCGTTTGAAAAGTCAAAAGGGCTTAAGACATCCTTACAAAATCCGCGTTTGTAGGACTCTAAGAGCTAAAAAGAATATTAAAAAATCCACGTTTTTTGATAGCTATAAGAGCTTGAAAAAATCTTTAAAAATCCACGTTTCTTGGAGCTATAAGAGCTTGGAAAAATCTATTAAAATCCAGGTTTTTGAAAGCTATAAGAGCTGGAAAAAATCTTTATAAATCCACGTTTTTTGATAGCTATAAGAGCTTGAAAGAATCTTTAAAAATGCACGTTTTTTGATAGCTATAAGAGCTTGAAAAAATCTTTAAAAATCCACGTTTTTAAAGCTATATTTGTAAAAACCTACGTTTTCAAGATTCTGAGGGCTCGGAAAAAAATTTTAAAAAAATCTACCTTCTTATGATTCTGAGGGCTTGGCTAAAAATCTTTAAAAAATCACGTTTTTAAGACTCTGTGGGCTCGGCAAAAAAAAAAAAAAAAAATAAAAATTCCACGTTTGTAAGACTTGAGGGTTCGACAAAAAAATCTTTAAAAAATCGACGTTTGTAAAATTCTAAGGCTCGACAAAAAAAAAAAATCTTAAAAAATCCACGGTTGTAAGACTCTGAGGGCTCGGCAAAAAATCTTAAAAAATCCATGTTTGTAAGACTCTGAATGCTCGACAATAAAATGTTTAAAATATTCACGTTTTAATGATCTGAGGGCTCGGGAAAAATATTTAAAAAATCCATGATTCTGAGTGCTCGACCAAACATCTTTAAAAGATTCTCAGCGTTTGGCCAAAAATGTTTAAAAATCCACGTTTGCAAGACTCCGACGGCTCGGCAAAATATCTTTAAAAATCCACGTTTGCAAGACTCTGAGGTCTCGCCAAAAATTCGTAAAAATCCACGGTTGTAAGACTCTGATTGCTCGGCAATAAAATTTTCAAAATATCGACAAAAGCTATAAGGGCTTTAAAAAATCTGTAAAAAACTCACTTTTATATGACTCTAAGGTCTTGAAAAAAAAAAATCTGTAAAAAATCCACTTTTATATGACTCTAAGGGCTTGAAAATAATCTTTAAAAATCCACGTTTCTTGAAGCTATAAGAAAAAAAATTCTTAAAAAATCACGTTTGAAAAGCTATAAGATATTGAGCGAAAATTCTAAAAATTTCGTTTTCCGGAAAAATGTTTTAAAAATACACGATTGAAAGGCTAAAAGAATAGATTAAAACCACGTTTGAAAGGCTATAGGAGCTTCATAGAAATCCTAAAAATTCGTCTTTTAAAAATCCACGTTTGAAACTAAGAGGGGTTGAAAAAATTCCCTGAAAGTCCACATTTGAAAGCTATTAAGCGCTAAAGAAAATATTTTAATAGGCAATAATGATTTGAGAAAAATAAATATTAAAAAAATCCATTTTTTAAAGATCCACATTTGGAATACAAATAACATAAGGGCTTAAAGAACTACAAATAAAAATTCTGTTAAATTTTGTTTTTAAATGTTTTAAATTTAATTTTTTTATGTTGATGAAAACATTGTAGGGTCTTGAAAAAAATTAAAAAACTCATCTTGAAAAAATGCGCTTAAAAGTCCATAAGGGCTTTCTTCAAAAATCTACATATGCAAGACTATATGACTTGTTAGAAAAGTCGTAAAAGAATTGAATTGAAAGGCCTGATCTTTACAAAAAATCTTATAAATCCCATAGATTTTGGCTCCAGAAAAATTCGTGAATAATTCGGGTCAAAAGCTTTTAAGAACATGAGTAAATGTCGTAAGGAAATCGACTGGTGATCAGAAAATATTCTTCGAAAAATCCACCTAAAAATTCTTCTTAGGAAATGTCCAAAAAGACATGATAAGATTTCTTAGTTCAGACTGTGATATTTTTTTCACCCATATTTCCTGAATTGAAACCAACTGACATCTATTTCCATATCCATACAGCTTCCGATACACAAAACTCCTGCCCTGTGACATCACAATGTCCCTTTAAATTGTCAATAAGTATAAATTTTTCCTTGAGATATTCGAAGATAATACAATAATTGGATTTCTTCTCGCAAGGAAGGAAATAATAAATATAAGCAGAGGAATGCCGGAGGCATGTTGTTGCTTAACGAAAAATTATGTCTATTCTATTTTATTTGCCTTCGTTTGTTTTCTTTTCGACAAACAACGTTGTGGTGTCCACGGGAAGTTGCTGTGTCTAATTGATGTGAGTTAGGTCGCATGTCCATAAGTTGATACAAAAAAACCGAACAGAAGCAAAAAAAAATTGTAATTGAGTGTCGAATTAATTGATGTCAACGAAATAAATTGACTTTGTCGCATGTCGCTGAAAAAAAATAGAAAAACAAGAACTGAAATGAATTGACATTTTGTTGGCACTATGAATTGCCGTTATAAATATCAGTTTCTTAGAATAAGCTAAACTTCCTGGGTGTGTTAGAAAGTTGCGTTTTTAATATTAAAGTTTTGAGAATTCTTCATGAAATAATAACGATAATTTGATGATTAGGGAGAAAGTGTGTGGGATTAGAGATTATTATGCTTATAGGACTTGTAATCTACATTTCACTCCGACATCATAACACTGATAAAATTATCGGTTTTAATTTAAAAATCTTCTCATTTTTCTGGAAACAGGGGTTTCTTTTTTTAAATTTGATGAAGAACATTTATGCCTCTGGCGTCATCTTATCCTCATTGTATAAACACAGCTATAAAATACTACAAACCTTAGTATTTAATATTTATGATTTCCGGGTTTTTAGTAAGATGTGGTCATTTTGGCATTTTCGGGGACCTTTAACCCTAGTTAGATAACGTACGTCTGCGAGACGTTGGCCTTTTGAATTTTTTACTCTCTCTCTGCCGATCATTAACAGGGAAACCTCTCATGCTCTGTTATCTCAGTCGGTAGCAACAACTTGGCGGTGGTGGTTGTTTTTTTGCGGTAAGTTCGATATTTTCTTAGAAAAAGACACAAATAGAATCAGCGTACGTCTGAGAGACGTATGGTTATCTTTTGAGCAACTTTAGGTTTGTTTTTTAATGAGTATTTTTTTTTTTTTTTTCGTTTGATTTTTAAGGTATTTTATAAGATCTCATTTAAAGTAATGGCATTAACACGTGGTTTGAATGATTCAGAAATTGCTTCGCTTTTGCAAAGCGTTTTGGAAGACTCAAATTCATCAGAAAATGTGAGTGAATCAGAAAACGAATTACTGGAGGATGATATTCAAAGTGATGTGGAAGATGAATCGCTTGACGGGAACGAGTCTGGTGAAAATATAGCGTCCGTTCAAGACCCAAATCAAGAATTCACTACTCATTCCGATAGCCGTATAATAACTGTAGCGTTACCCACCTTAAGGAGTAAAAGTAAACACTGTTGGACTACATCTAAAGGTAATAGCTCTACAAGAACATCCTTGATAAACATAGTAAGAACAGCAAGGGGACCAACGCGGGAGTGCAAATCGCTGTATGAGCCAATTTTATGTTTTAAAGTTTTTTTCACGGACGAAATAATTTCAGAAATTGTTCAATGGACTAATGCTGAAATATATCTAAATCGTCGAATTGACAATGCATCTGCAACATTTAGAGATACATGCGCCGATGAAATTCGAGCTGTTTTAGGCATATTAACGTTAACAGCAGCATTAAATAATAACCACTTATCAACCGACGACTTGTTCAACAATACCTACTGTGGAACGTTATATACAGCAACCATGAGTCGAGATAGATTTGACTTTTTAATTCGATGCCTTAGAATGGACGATAAAGCCTTGCGACCTGCCCTTCGTCCAACTGATGCGTTCGCACCTGTCAGAAAGATATGGGACATTTTTATAAGACAATGTAACACCAGTTACATACCAGGATCGCATGTTACAATTGATGAACAACTGTTGGGCTTTCGTGGTCGCTGCCCATTTAAAATTTATATTCCTAACAAGCCAAACAAATATGGAATCAAAATTCCAATGATATGCGACAGTACTACGAAATATATGTTTAATGCAATTCCATATCTAGGGAAAACGACAAACACGGCTGGCCTTCCATTAGGGGAGTTTTATGTCAAGGAACTGTCACGACCCATACATGGCACATATCGAAATATAACTTGCGATAATTGGTTCACGTCTATTCCTTTAGCAAAGGGTCTACTTAATGAACCTTACAAGTTGACTCTAGTGGGAACCATAAGATCTAATAAACGAGAAATACCGGAGGAAATGAAAAACACCCGAGCACGAAAGGTTGGAACTACCATGTTTTGCTATGATGGCCCTTTAACTCTCTTATCGTACAAACCAAAGCCTTCTAAAATGGTCTATTTGCTGTCTTCCTGCAATGAAAAAGGTACGATTGACGATAAAACTGGAAAGCCGGATATAATATTATACTATAATGAAACAAAGGGTGGTGTCGATACTTTCGACCAAATGTGTTCGTTGATGTCATGCTCCAGGAAAACCAACAGGTGGCCCATGGCAGTATTTTATGGAATGCTTAACGCAGCATTCATAAACTCCTACGTCATTTATGCCCACAATTTGATTTCTATTAAAAAAAAGCCTTTAAGTCGCAAGGAATATATGAAGGTACTTTCTGCTTCTTTAACAAACCCATGGATGGAAAAACGAATGGAAATTCCGACTTTGTCGAAAACCTTGCGCAACAATATTCAAAATGCAGTGTCCGACGAAGTCAACAATGATGGCGGCAGCAGTGGAGATCATTCTGTCTCAAAAAAGAGAAGATACTGTGGTTTCTGTCCATCAAAAATACGACGTATGTCGAAAATGATATGTTGCAAATGTGATACACCTCTATGTGGAGACCACAAAAATTTAGTTTGTAACTGTTGTATATAATATTTACCGAATTTTTTTTTTTTTGGTTTACATTACATAATAGAGATATAAAAACCAAGTTTAAATAAAAAGAATATATATTTTTTAGTTTATAGAACCGAATTAGAGGTCCTTCAGAGAAGACTGCTTATTTTTTAACTATTTTTGAAGCCAAATTGAATTTTATTTTTTATTTTATTTCTAATATTAATTTTAATGTATAGATACTTTTATATAAAAAGAACTGAAGTAAATAAATGATATCAATAAAAAAATTTCAATATTCTTTTTCTTAATATCCTTTTTAAGTCCTTAAACGGGCATACGTCGTTCAGACGTATCGTTATCTTTTGACTGAAAAAAAATAACGTTATCTAACTAGGGTTAAAACAATTTTATGACAAATAATTTTATACCATATTTTCAAAACAAGGACAATAAATGGCCCTTCGTTGGCTCGCTTAGGGATTAAAATTTTCCACCAAATAATGATCGTATTAATTCTGTTATATTGTCAAAGATACTAAATTTTACTGTTTTCAAGTGATCTTAATCGGTAAGCTTCAAAACATTTTTAAGGGAGGGAAAATTGTCCCCTCTAGTTTGCTCTAAAAAATTTTCAAACCACTATTCTGCTCTAGAATTTTGAAAATCTGGGCACTTTAATTTAAAATCCATGTATATAGCTCTTAAATTTCGCCTTATCCTTAGGTATAACTTTGAAAAAATTCCAATAAACAACGACTGTAGCTCTAAACAAAAATTTGTTACTATGTTCTCCAAAATCAAATCCTCCATAAATATTATCTTTAATCCGGATCCTTATTCAGAACATACAACCCCACCCCACATCAAAAGCACCCCACAAGCAATAAAAACAGCATCAAATAACCACCCAAATGACAATTAAGCTCTCGACAACGTACTGTTTACGCCAATATGGCAAATAATTCTCATTGACTTGGTAATGCAGGTCACATATAGTGTTCGGTGTGGTTTTTGACGAGACAGGCTTTCCAAAGGGTAATTAGTGATCTCCTGAATAATTTTCTACTCTCTCAGTAACAGAATCGTTAGCTGCGAATACTTTTTCCAAATCGGATGTTATTGAGTTGAGTGGACGGTAATTAATGTACACAGGGACTTGGGCTCGTTTGTCCACAGGAATCTTTGTCTTGTTGTTCCTTAGGAGTTTCGGTCCCTTGTTCCACAGTAGTTTCGATTCATTGTTACACTGGAGATTTGACTCGCTTTTCCACCGGAGTCCTGGGCTCTTTGTTCCACAAGACTTTTGATTCGTTGTTAAAACGGAGATCTTTGACTAGTTGTCCCACAGGAGCCTCGGTTCATTTTCCACAGGAGTTGCTGCTCGTTTTCTCACATGAGCTTCGGCTCGTTGTCCCACAGGAGTTTCGGCTAACTGTTCTATAAGATTCCTCGTTTTTTTTTTTTTTTTTTTTTTTTTGGCTAACAGAATCTTCGGCTTGTTGTCCCATAGGAGCAACAAACGTATCATAGCTCAAACACTGGTAGAGAATTAGAGGTATTTATAAACCATAATTGTAGTTAGAATAATTTTCTAACCATCCATATGAGCAGGAACGGAAATCTGTTTCCGAGCCTATCCACGATGAACTGCCAAGCCTGAAAAAGTCTCGACCCACCTAAGAACGCATGAATCTCTTCTCCCGAACACTTCCACAGTGAGCTGCTGAAACCGAACAACTTCCGATCCATCTGAGAAGGCCTGGACATCTACTCCCGAATATACCTTCCATAAGCTGCCGAACAATGTAATATGGCCTCGACATCTTTTACCGAATATCTCGGCAAAGTGCCGTACCCAAACGATTATATCACGAGGCACCCGATCCATTTTAGAAGACTTATACGTCAACATCTTAACCATCTACATTGCATATCCCAACTAGCACTCATCAGAATCGACGCCCATTCATCAAAGTTCCCGATTACTATCAAAACGTCAATATCCTGAATGTCGACATCATTGCGAACATCAACATTACATTCAACCCGTCCATATCCGACGACCATATATCAAAGGTCCGATTATTCTTAAATCATTTGTTCCTGAACATACAAACAGTGAGCGGCCGAGCTCGAACGAATCTCCTTTCATGTGAGAAGGTCCGGATATCTGCTCCCGAACATACAACCATGTGCTGTCCAACCCGAACAATCCAAGACGAACTTCAGAGAACCACTGTGGACTAACGATTATACCACGAGTCCGCCGATTCATCTCAGAAGACTTGGACATCAACATTTGAACAATCTACCTCGTAAACCGGGTCGTCGGATCTGAAATTAATCCTCAAACCCAATGTTCCCGATTACCTTTAAATCGGCATCATTCCGCACGCCAGCGCCACCCTGAACACAAACATCGCAATACCGGATTTCCCTGATTAGTCAACATGCGGTGACCATCGACCAATTCCCCATTACCACAAAATCGTCAACATCTCGAACGCCAACGTCAATTCTGATCTCCCTAATATTTCAACATACGATGATCAGCCACGAGTTCCCGATAACCTTCAAATTGTCGGTAACCTGAACATTATCCCGGCCAATCACACGCAAGTACCAATCGTGAACATCACAACATGGCTGCACCATTGTTCCCAAATGTCCACGAATTGTTCACCCTCTAAATATAAACTGTAGAAACCCCCGTTGCTTACGAGACATGGAATTCCCGATCATAAACTTAACAACTCCACTTTGAATTACCGGGAATCTACGAAGTCAATTCGGCATTCTATATTTTATATCCATAATTTAGTATTTAAATTACGCCTCCGGGAAAATGGTCTTAATTGTTCCTTAAGGAAAACCTGGACTATAACTGACATACCTCAGCCGACGAGATGAGAATTTTATTTAAATCCTCGACCAAAAATATAATTTAACGTCTTCGGCTATACCCTCCAAAATAATTATTTTAAATTCACGGCTATTTGCTCCAAAAATAGGTTTGAAAATTCAAAGAAATATTATTTAAAATTCGGTGTTGAAGCTCCAAAAATTCCTCCAAAATGTTGATGGTCCTGCAAGAATATTGTTACACGCCTATGTCTCTTATTGAGAAGGTTCTGAAAAAATATTTTGAATAATCACAGCTATATTTTTTTTAAAATTCTTAGAAAAATTCTCTTCAAATATCTACATATATTTTAAAAAATTCCCGGTTTAGCTCCCTTAGTAGTTTTCTAATACTTATTTTTCAAATATTTAAATGTGAAATAAATTTAAACACTTTTTTTCAAAAAAAATCTTAAATCACAACGTTATTGGACCGGCCATTGCTCCCTTTCCATATTCGTAACCTAAATAATTAACAGACCTCCATTCAAAGAAATGATGTCTGTTTTTGTCTAGCACAACATTCCTTGTTTATTTATCCTGGCTGTGACTACATTTTTTGTCATTATTGAAAACAATATTCATTCCTCACCGTTGTTGTTGCTGTTGTTATTATTGGAAAATATCATCGTTCCCAGCCAATTTATGTTTTGTCATTGTCACCGAAAGTTGTTCGTCCAAAAACAGAGCTACAAACTTTTCCATTTAATTGTCGTTATTCATGTTGTTTTTGTTGTTGTCGTTGTTCTTGTTGCCTTAAAATTGAAATAAAACCAATATTCATGGTCTATTGGAGCAATTAAAAGTTGTTCTTGTTTTCTTTTTGCCACTTTTTTTGTTTTGTTATTTGGCAAATTGTATCAACAAACCATAACAAAAACAACAAAGATGGACAAATGGCTAGCTGGCCGGCTGGCTGGCTGTCTGTTGTCATACATTCAACAAAGCGTAATAATTTTATTTGCAAAATATTCTTTGGTCTTTTTTGGAAAAAAACAAAACTTAGTAAATAAAATAAAAATGAGTAACATACATTTAGAGACAGACAAATATTTTCGTTTTAGGTAATTTTATTTATTTAAAATAAATAATAATTGAATGGAAGGGTCTGTCAAAATATGAGCAATATTTAGGCTACTATTCACGAAAGGGGTTTTCAAGCAAATACGGAAATTATTTTCTCTCATCTATAATAAAGGGTGATTTTTTGGCGGCACTGGTTACCAGATCTCTCATAATGCGTGTTTTATTTCACTGTTATCATTTTCAGGTTGGTCTATAATTTACATATAAATCGTCTTCGAACAACGCTTGCAAACCATTGACTCTATAATCAAAATGGGGGCTCAGTTAAGCAATTTCATCGCCAGATTCTTAATTTCGATGAGGCACTTCTTGACAGTTTCAAATGACATATACCCTATGTAGCCATATAGCTGGTGGTGTAGCTATATCATTTGATACGACCAAAACCTGCCTTAACGCCAAATCCGTTTTACTATATTTTGAGTTGATTTAGGGGATAACTATTGAAGAGAATATTCGATTTTATACAAACTTGGTAATATTATTTTTAACAAGTAAGCAAAGGCTATAGTCGTGCGGGGCCGACCATGTGATACCCTAAAACACTACAATGTGTTAGAAGCCCCCTTATGTCCAAATCCACTTTGGAAGATTTCGCATTTTGAAATTATCACACGGAGCACAGCCCAGATATTACACTTAGCATTTTGACCAGGGACAGTATTTACGCACTCAGTCGTGATGTTAGTTGATGTGGTCCATTTTACAGCTAAATATAATCCAATGGCCATCCAAAATGCTAGAAATCTTCCCTGTTCTTAACTCCCTTCTTAGGCGTTACGATCGGCTTAATTTGTGTGATCATTCTGTGTGTTTCGGATATCGCCTGTGAGTAAACAAATAGGCCTAGCCCTTCTCAGCCTAACCCTTGAAAATTTTTGTGAGGATCGGACGATAATTGCAATCTGTATATAATATCCCCAACCGGTGTTGTAAGGTGAATAAATATTACAAAATATACACTTCAATACTATAAGTCAAATTGAAACAAGTAAGCAAAGGCTACAGTCGAGCGGGGCCGACCGTTGAATACCCTACAACACTATAATAAATGATACAGTTTATATAGGCCAGATACTCGAAAGAATTCCTCAAGATATTGTGACAAATAATAAAAGAAAACCATCAGGTTTCGTTCTCTAATTTTCGAATAATAGAAACTTGAACTAATTTGCTCATTTCCAATTTATAGGTAGATGTTGCACTTAAATGGTCTTCCTAGATCTGGAACCAATATTTCCCAAACACCTATAATCTCTCAGAAGTGGCAAAAGATTAACATTTATTATTGGTTTTTGACTGAAACGCATC